TAAGAATGTAGATCTGGTATGATTTGGTATGTCGTTTAACCATTTTACTGTCTTTAATTTACGTGTTTTTGTAACTTTTTGTCTAAAATATGGCCTTATTAAGGTCAAATTTTAGAACAGAATTCGATGCTCAGAATGCAGGAAATGGTGTTTCCGGGTTTCAAATTTCAAAAATTTTCCAGGGGGGCATGCCCCCGGACCCCCCTAGATTACGTGGTGCCTCTTCAGTTTGGGATTATGCTACAGTCAGATTTTTAGCTGGATCCGCCCCTGAGTTTTGTTGCGAAATGTTGTAAAATGCGGATAATATAGCCATGCGAAGCTTGCTGTGTTTCAGTCATTTTGTATTACGCACGGGAAATTGATAGCCCAATCGGGTGTTGGGCATCAATTTCCCGTTCGTAATACCACAGTTTGGAAACTCGATGAAAGTACAATATAACTCATTAACTATGTTATTGTCCAGCTTTATGCAAGAATTTGGTCCTATCTCGTCACGTGTGTATTGTATTTTCGCTCAAATAACCAATAACAACTTTGTGGTTGAGTTATCCATCCGTAACTTGAACAAATGCTCAATTTAAACATTGCTATTGGTTGTGCGGGAAAAAATACAATACACACGTGACGAGATAGACCCAATTTCTTGCATAAACCGAAACCAACATAGTTAATGAGTTATATAACTTATATTGTACTTTCATCGAGTCTCCAAACCATGTATTCTATTAACTGTGGTAATACAAAATGACTGAAAATTGCAAATTTCGCAAGGCTATATTATCCGCATTTTACAACATTTCGCAACGAAACTTAGGAATATTACTAATTTTGTGATGCTCTTTCAAGCTGTGATGAAATTTTTGTCTAGACTTGTTTAGATAAAAATTTAGTCTATAATGCAAATGGTCCATTTCGTACCCAGGGCTTTTTGCTCCTACGATTTACTTTTTAATTTTTTTTTCTCCCTGAATTTTGGGGTGTTTAGTATGATAATTTATCTGAAAGCACAGGTAAAAATTAGTATTTGAAATTTGTGTATTGCTGTCCCCCTATAGATACAAAATTGGCAATACACACTCCTACAAAAATAAAAATGATCCTTGCATTGAATAATTCTGTTCAAAATCATTGACCAATGTTGCAGAACAGCGCAGCCGAAGCCAGATCGTTTTTCGCTGACTGTCCAACCGCAGAAGCAAAAAGAGCTTGGGTACGAGATTGGGTAAAACTCATCAGGATTATCGATTGATCACCATTCTGTTACACGGTTGTGTTATTGTAGTGAAACCCACCCATATAGTACGAAAATTCGATACTTTTACTGAGTTATTTCATCCAATTTGTCTATTTAGATATTTCATACTTCGTAAAGTTCCAACACTTCGGAAATTCTCCTGTGCCATAATTGTATTGGTTTCATTATTCATTTGCCTCATTCCCAAGATATTTACTTCTATTGACCCTGATGCAGGCGATTCAGGTGGAGCTAGCGGGGTTGCAGGCATCCTGTGGCCATTGTGTTTCATGTTTGGTTTTGTAAGTAAGCTTAATTTAAGTAAAACATTTTTGAAGTATTCTTTTTGTTAGTTTTGATTAATTTAAATGAGTGATGGATAGTCCTGAGTATCAATTTGAATTTAAAGCAGGGCGTATCCCACACACCCAAAAACCTCACATCTTGTCAACAATGCAGTAAACAAGATGTGATTGCAACAGGCTTGTAGTAAGCTCGTCAACAAGTAATATCCAATCAACTCTCATGT